CCACTGCCGATCCCACGTCGGGAGCAGACACTGCCGTTGTTGTTGAGGATGACGGAGCGGGTGTGGAGTCTGCTGACGGCGGTGAATCAGCCTTGTGTTCATTTGAGCGTGTTTCAGATAAGGAGAATGAGGATGAACTGCCTCTTGACAGCTTGTTGCCTGGACCACCTGAGCCTCGTGAGCAGGCCAACGGCCCAGCCAGTGGTGTGGCGGAGGATTCCAGTAGCTCATCAGATTCTGAATCCGAGTCATCTTCTGAGAGCGACGTCTTGACTGATACCGATCACAAAGAAGCTTCTCGTGTCATAGGGATTCCTTCGCCAGCGGAGGGAACCCGGTTTTTGGTGCACCGCAACACTAAGATGTTGCACATGATTGCCGATGGCAACTCAAGGGTCATGCTTTGTGGGCGAGTGGTGCAAGAGGTTCACCAGGAGGCCACGGACATCCGTTTTGATTCTTCGGTCTGCTCGATGTGTAAACGGGCGGCCAATAATCTTTAAGTCTCCGTGCTTACGCGGATCGAGGCAAAATGTTGGGGTTAGATTGCACGCCAAGTGGGTTCATGCCACAAGCTGATGCTTGTTAGTCGTGGCGGATCATTGTGATGCAAGCCAACTTCATTACTGACTACCGCGCTCGCAGTTTTGCTCTGAGGTTCGTAGTTGCACCTTAACCATGGCACTGGTGGATAGCAAGGCCAGCTTCCTGCAGAGATGCACTGAGGTTGGTGCCGGCGACATCCATACCAGCTTGAAGGGCGAGGGTGTGGAAACCTTCGCGCAGTTGTATGCTTGTGGCACTCCCAAGGAGCCTCCTAGCCAGTCGGCATTTGACACATTCACGGCCAAGGTCTTGGGGGCTAAACCCCAAACTGGGGGATGTGGGAATGCTGAAGAGGCTCATGTTCGAGTCTTCGACGTTCGTGGTGGCGGCCCTTCGCCAGAGCGTCGTGGGAGACACCGAGACACCGCGCAAGCTGCCGGTCGCCGAGAAAGCGGCACGTGCTGCAGCACAAAAGCAAAGGCTGAGCGGCCTCATCATCGAACGTGACATGGTGCCCAGCTATGCATTGATCGATCTGTGCTCCCACATGTGTGACACGAACACTGTTACTTGGATCAGTCCAGGAAAGTGCACCTCTCATGAGTCAGAGATTCAGGTGTCGTCAAAGGAGACCGCCAAGGTATTCAAGCTCGAGGACCATCAGCTGAAGATCGGCTCAGACCCTATAGAGTTGGCAGCTGATTACAGTTCAGCTATCATGCTGCAGTGGTGTTTGCAACGCAGAGGTTTAGCGTTAGACCAAGTGGGGCTTGTGACTTGGGAACAACATGAACATTGGGTCCAGTATTTATTACATGGCCTCACGCGAGACTGTCCTCCAGGCTGGAGTCGACCCGGCATTGCACAGTTAGTTCAAGCAGACAAAGAGGCCTTTATGGTCATGTCATCAGAGTTACAATCTATCAAGGCAACGTCGGCTGGCACCCGCCCAATGGGGGAGAAACTCGAGGCGCTCTGCTATGACCCTCGTATTACCTGCCTATTGATGCCAGTGCCTTTCAAGCACCCTGGAGGAATCGTTGCTGCTCCCCCTGCGCCTGCAGATGATGCACCTGTGCTTTCCAAGGGGGCAAAGCGGCGACTGCGCCAAGCCAAAGCCAAGGCTGCAGCTAAGGTGAAAATCGTTCACCCGGGGGGCGGTGGAAGCGCAGCGCGACGAACTATGCCAGCTGAACTGAAAGACCTCCACCAAAAGATGGCTGATGGAGCGTTGATCTGCTGGGATTTCAATTTGGAGTGTGGCTGCAAGGAACAGAAAAGTGGGCAACCACCTAAATGCGCTCATGGGACACTCGTACCAGGTGTGCCGTGCCCGTTCCTGGAAAGGAGGCGGGAAGGGGGTCAGCAGCAAGGCCTGACTATCTGCCCGCCCAATTCAAACTGACTCCGCCTCGGGAGTCCGCAACCATGCTGCCAGATACAGTTTTCCGTCTTTTGCAAATAGTTTTCATGAGTTCAAGCCATCTTGTGATGCGGAACACCTATCTTGCCAATGCCTTCAGAATGGTGAAGTCAGTTTTGAGGACTTCGAGTCACTGATTTCAGTGTTGCCGCCAGACAACGCTACTGCCGAAGCCGGTGACGAGTCTAAGACCTTCACCGCCGGTGCCTATGTTTATTCAAATCTTGCGAGTCTTCGTAGCAATGCTTACAAGTACCCTGCCACAACACGGCTATTAGCCACAGTTTTGCGCCAACATTTTCCTATTCGGACTTTCACCTCTGCTGGGTTGTTTCGTCAGTTGAAAGCACCCCCGCATGTCGATACGAACAACCAACCCGGTTGTCCCAACCTTCTGCTCCCAGTGTCGCAGTTTGAGGGTGGTAGCGTATGGGTGGCGGGCCACGGTGATCACGAGCTCTCCGTGCACGGAAAGCTGCACACTGGCAGCCTGCTTAATGTGGCTCAGGGTCCATGTGAACTGGACGCGCAATGCTTGCATGCCGCTTGTGATTGGAGCGGCACGCGCCTCATCCTTGTCGGGTTCTGCGTTAAAAATTGCGCCTCCCTTCACCCTGAATCCGCTGCTCGCCTGGACAGCCTGAACTTTCCATTGCCAGCCTGCCAGCCTGCTCAGAAACGCCCTCGTGTCGAGAGCGCAAGCGGGAATGACGAGGCTGCTTCTGCAAGTGTTCAAGAGCTGCCATCCTCTCCGAGGATGCGACTCCTGTCGAACCCACACTGACCCCGGGTTACCCTAGGACTGTCCCGCAATCCCCTATCCACTCTGGGTTGCCACCTCAGCCTGATGCACCAAATACTCTCCGGGAGCATGCTCAAGCCTCAACCGATGGGCCCACGGTCCAGCGTCTTTTTCCCGAAGCGGTTGCCCCGATGGTTATTGAGGTCTTTGCAGGAACGGCTCGTTTGTCCCAGGCGTGCCAAGCCGTTGGATTTCGCACATTGTTGATAAGTCGACCAGGCGGTCTCGCTACGCCATACATTGCCTTGACCTTACACGATCCGATGATGTGCAGGCCCTGCTCGACATAATCACACTCCAGGCCAACCATTTGGAGCTGGTGCA